AAATACACTCGAAAGTTTGCCATTGCCTGCCGAGGGACGACCGCTGTTAAGAAAAAACCTTTTTTTCTATATTTTTGCGATGTTGCTTTCACCAGGGTTACCACTACACCACAGCGGCCGACAGCGGCGTTGCTCTTTCATAAGTCTTTTTATTGGGCAGATCTCAAGAAGGTGCCCAAATATACATATAGTGAGTCGCGTTATCCTAGAAAAATTGTCACTTGTAGTATCTCAAGCAGATGAACATACGTTGAGACTTCAATGAACCTTTAAGCCGAATAACGTTAAATGCAAACTTAATATATTGCTGTTCGATCCATTTGCTCCGTATTCTCCACACTGCACATGTCTCTCATTTTCATTGGGTTCGTTGGTGTAAATGTTACGCAAGCTCTTTTGAGTTAAACTCCTGGATGGGCTTTAGCCAGTATTTTATCGATAGCAGACTTGTGCGAGGCACCAGCAAGCGTCGTACAAGTTTAGAGCGGATACGGGTTCTCCTGATTAACCTGTAGCTCTACTTTTGGCAATATCAATTTGGCCCACTTCAATTGGTACCGCAGAATCCTGCCTTCTTTATTACTTTCATCTATGACGTCTATGGTCCTTTGATTACTTCTTTTTTTTTGGTGCCGTTGCTAAAACTTAGCGGTAGACTTTTCCTCTAAGCAATCAATTAATTTTCATACAATTAAATTTTTAAAACCAGATTTATAGTATTCTCTCATAGATTGTACTCTTGGCACCTTAACTAGGCCCTCTGTATATTTTGTCTTAAAGAAGAAAGACTGCGGAGAGCTACGGGTATACTACAAAACATAACGATCGCGACCGGGCTTAATGTAAACTCAGCACAAGTTCCAAGAATTATAATTTCACAGCAATACATATCGTCACTAGACATGAATAAAGGCGCGCTATTGTTTTCGCGGCAAAAAAGGACGATTTGACGAAAAAATACGCGTAAAAAAACTTCGGCGAAACATAGACTTATATGTACCTAGCCAAGTACTGTCACTTTAGCATCATGACCCAAACCTCTTTGGGAAATGTACATACAATTACACCCGCAAACATAGTGGACCCGCGAAAATAAGCTTACGCGTCTTTCTTCGCCGTCAAATCTAGACGCCTTTCTTCAACTTTGGACCTCGCGCCTTTATTCATGTCTTGTGATGATACAGTCAAAAAGGTTGTGCAGATATTTTGCATATTTGCATATCAAATAAAATTCATAAAATATAGGTAATTAAAAGCAAAAAACTTGACTCTTATTCAGAAACTAGCATGCATTAAATTTCATTGTAGTTTCTTTTCATCAAAATTGTCGATAATTGAGCTGGTCAATGCTCTTGATTGGTAAACAAATGCTATTTAAATTGGCTCTGAAGAGACATGCAAATTTGCAGAATCTTTTTTTTGCAGCTCAAAATAAATGCGAATAAATCAAAGCAGCTGAATTGCAGTATATTTATAAATAAATGTGTACTTTTTATTATATATATATTTATATATGTAATGCAGTAATCAAAGAGGTGACAAATTCGAAATCGGTGGCGTTGAAAAAAACTAAACCAAGTCGAAAACTAAGTTATTTTTGTAGTACAGGGTGTTACAGAAATAAGCCTACAGTTGAGTCAATTTGAAGGTATCAAAAGCAAATTTTTTTAAATTAAAGTATACTTGCCCTTAATCTGGGCAACACATCCATCGCTAAATAAAACCCCCCTTATCAAATATGGAAACCGGGCCTTCATGTCTTCCAATATTTTTTTGAAGAATACCTACATATACTGAATATTTATCGTGCATTTGAATATGGTTGGGCAATTATATGGAAATATTTTACTGAAAAAAATAAACAGAGTTTATGCAGCCTCGTTACACAAATAAAATAAATGAAAAGGCAAATTTTTTTAATTCAAAAATATAGCAATTCTTCACGCTGAAATTTTTATAGAAAAAATCTTTGCTTATCAGCTCGTCTCCAGATTCACTCCCATCAGTGAACGATTCGCTATGATCTGCATCAAAGTTCAATTAAACAACCTTAGCTTCATTTCGGCGCACGCCCCGACGGAGGAGAAGGACGATGAAACTAAAGAGCAGTTCTACGAGCGCTTAAAGGAAATATGTATAACTGTATTCGTATGGAATAGTAGCTTATGTCGAAAGGCTGGCTTTAGTATAATGCGGCATTCGCAGCATACGATTGCAAATAACTTAGTAGCACCGAGCCGGGCAACTTCTAACGCCAGGGTGAGCAGGGAAGGCATTTTTGGTCCAACATTCGGAAAATTCAGCCTTCACAACAATACCTTCGATAACGGAGGGAGGCTGATNTAACTGTATTCGTATGGAATAGTAGCTTATGTCGAAAGGCTGGCTTTAGTATAATGCGGCATTCGCAGCATACGATTGCAAATAACTTAGTAGCACCGAGCCGGGCAACTTCTAACGCCAGGGTGAGCAGGGAAGGCATTTTTGGTCCAACATTCGGAAAATTCAGCCTTCACAACAATACCTTCGATAACGGAGGGAGGCTGATCGACTTTGCCGCGGCATGGAACATTGTAGCTAGTAGTACGAGACACCAGCATCGAAACATCCAAAAAGCCACATGGATGTCCCCTGATCAAAGAACGAAGAACCAAATAGATCATGTTGTGATAGGCGGAAGCTACTCTTCGAGCGTTCTTGATGCGCGTTCTATCCGACGAGCCAACATCGACTCGGATCACTACCTTGTTACAGATGATATCCGCATGCACCTTTGCGCAATGCAGAACGTGCGTCAGGCAACGCGGCGAAAGTCGATGTCGAGAAGCTGCAATCACAACAGACTGCCGAGAAATTTCGCAATCGGCTCTCAATTCTACCTATACAAGAAAATCTTCATCGAACGGATATAAATGAGCAGTGGGAGTCCATCTTCCAATCTCTTCATGCCGCTGTGGAGGATTTGGTTGGATACTTACGTCTATTCAAAAGAAAGAAACGAGAGGCACATAGACGTGAATGCAAAGAGCTGGCAGAAAGGAATGTGGCTCGAAAATTAAGAAAATAAGGCAGCAATCACATGGCTTAAAACCGGGGCTCCTTCCTGCAGAGATGAAGACGGAAATATAGTAAAAACAATGTCCTGAGTACACTTTAGATGTGGGGGGAACACTTCTCAATGCTTCTGAATGGCGACACAGGTAGCGCGTTTCACGAAGAAGACTGGCTGATTATGGAAAGCCTAATAAGTGCTGCCAATGCCAGTCACAGCGGTATCATATATGTACATATAGCAAAAGAACGATTTTGCTTGCATATGCAGATGATATGGACATCGTCGGTCTGAAGCAAAGGGACTTAACCGCAGCATTTTCCAGTTTAGAAAAACAAGCTAAAGAAATTGGTCTGGCATATAAAGAGTCGACACGTTTCGAGGCACAAGTCACTGTTGGTTTGAAGTAAAGAAGGACTTAGGCTACCTAGGATTTGACACAGATACTACCTATAGCGTCAGCTTGGAGATCAAGGGAAGAATTACTCTTGCTCCTTTGAGCTCGGTAGACAATTCCCTCGATGAACAAAAATTACGTTCTAGAAGTCTATCGTCATGCCTGATCTTCTATATAGCTCAGAAACGTGGACGATGTTGAACAACGATGAGAAGGCTTTGAGTGCTTTCTAGAGAACAAGATCGCAAGATCAAGGTCCCTGCTCGCGTGTTTATGGCACCTCCTCCCATAGACGTGGTATATTGGGAGGAGCATAATTTTGGCACCATGCTCCCACGAAAAATAATAATTTTTTGTGTGGTCAATGCATATCTAATAACAAACCACTAACGTATATTAAAAAGCTCGCCAAGGGTATTAGATATATGTACATTCATTTTAATACACACACCCTGTATATCACTTATGTATGTATGTGTATATGTATGAATGTATATGTAAGTTCAAGTCAAGCGCGAAAACAAATAAATGAACGTAAATAAAGCAAAGTTAAATATTATATGCAAATATGTAAATATTATATTATATTTTTTTGCATGCGCTTTGCATGCATAACCTTGTTGTTGCACCGCTCTGTCATTCACATTCACTGCATTCATTCATTTGCACTCAGTCATTCGCTCACCCATTCACTTTTGCCGCTCATTCACTTGTCTGCGCTATTTTCTATATTTTTCACAATTTTTCATACAAACAATTTTTTTTGATGCTTTGCTTTTTTTTAACTTTTCATTGTAGATGCACCGCCAGTACTGCTGTACAGCTTCATCGAACAAACACTGCAGCCGGGACCGGCTGTGAGCTTGAAATGCTCAGCAGCCGGAAATCCAACACCGCAAATTTCATGGACATTGGACGGATTTCCACTGCCATCAAACGGAAGGTAATTGAACTTGTTGAAAGATATTCTTCATTCGATGCGAATGTGTGGGTGCTTTTACACTTATACTTCATATACTGTGTGTGTATATTTTCAAATATGTACATATGTGCGTTACCAGGCTGCTCATATATCAAAGACCTCATTTAGGATGTAGGAAAACTAAAGCATTCGTATTAGGGGAGAGAACTATTATTATGTATGTATGTTTGTATGTAGTTGCAGCTGGAAGCGAACTAATCATCAAATATACCCGAAACTTGTTACTCGGGAGCTTTTGGGGTTGTTGATTACGAATATAATCATGACTATTTAAAACTCGAAATGGCGGATACAATATTTCCGACAAATATCTGATAGCTGAATCCCCCCCCACTCTCCAAAATTGAGGGAACGGTTCTTTTCCCGGTTTCCCGAAATCTTATATTTCGGATTCTATATCAATCAAATTTTAAAAATTTATCGAGCGTTTTAACGGAGCTGAATACGAATCGATCATCTCTATATTTCCGCCTTTTTAAAAGATTATCGTAAACGCCAGTTTAACGATTTTTAGTTCCAAATGAAGTTGCATATCTAAAAATAAGAACCTTCGATTGGTGCAATCAGGTTTTGAAAATCTCCTTTAGTTTCCGAGATACTGACTAAAATTTTATAGGTAATTTTGTACAAATTTAGTTAGTTATGCATTCAAACTAATTAAGAAACTAAGATTTCAAATGGAGTTTTCCATTTTAGGATATCTCCATAAGTTTCCGCGGTGTTGAGTACAAATTATGGTATAGTAAAAAATTGTTTCACGTTTTGTCATATGTTATATAAAGTGGTTGCAAAATTGTTGATATGTTGAATGTAGCTTACGACAAAGGTTTTCCTAAATAAAATCCTTCATGAGCTAAAAGATAATTATTTAAAAATAAACTTTGAACATTCTCCGAGACTTTGAAGAAAATCTATATTCGCGTATTTGAGAAATTCTTTCCAACATTCAATCGCGATTTCCCAAAACCGGCCAAAGGCAACACACGACAAACTTTTACCCAGGCAACGATATAGTTTAGTACGCAAAGACAATTTTTGTCCAGGTCAACAGATCTGCCACGTTCATTGGATTTTCATATTAAAGGCTTGGCCTGTAGATGTGCAATAAGAATTTACTTCTTCGAAGAGGGTTGCCACCAGTAAAAATTAAAATAAAACAAGTAAAAAAGTTCGGGCGAAGCCGGACATTAAATACCCGGTGCATGTATTAAAAATAGTTTTTCCAGCTTTCAGAAAACCACCGCTATATGGTAAAACGTTCAGTTAGACATAATGAGATAAACTTATATAGTCATATGTGGGCGGTATTATGTCCATTTTCCAAAATTCCATAATAATATTACTTCTTTCCAAGAGATTTTCTTAGTATCAGTTTTGAGTGAATTAGCGTCCTTAAATTTTTATGTATTCAAGCTTTTTTTGAAATTTTCTGTTATATGAAAAGCGGGCGTACTTTTAGTCTGATTTTAATAATTTTCAACGTTTTACTTTTATGTGGCAAGCACAATAACCATACCGAGTTTGGTACAAGTTGGTAGAACGGTTACCGAAATACATATATGTGATCATAAGTGGGCGGTGCCACGCCCATTTTCCAAAATTTTATCACAAACGTATTTCTTGGTTAAGAATTGTTACAAGCATCAATTTTGAATAAATTAGCTTAAATATTTACTGACTTATCGAAGATTTTGTATACCTCGATAATACTGTTATATTGGAGGTAGGCATGGTTATTGTCCGATTTTGCCCATTTTCAATACCATCTGTCCGCTGAAAAGAAGTACACATACCAAGTTTCGTTAAGATATCTCAATTTTTCCTTGAGTTGTCGTATCACAAACGGACTGACGGATGGACAGACAGTCACCGCTTAATCGACTTCGTTTTTAATTCTGACCATTTGTGTATACATTTTCTATATCTCGATTCGTTT